TGTCCAATTCATATTTATTATATTACGTTTATAGTTATTATATTACTTAGAAAGTAAATTTTTTTCCCTTGAATACCAAATGCGTTCCAAAATTATTGAAAAAATTATGTCGGAATCACAATTTGTCATCAATTATATTCCAGAATACCGTTGAAAAAATATGAGAAGATCTCTCTCTCTCTCTCTAGGTTTAATCATGCGTCTCTCATAAGTCTCGCTTAATTAATTTCAGAGCGAGCACAATGCGTGTATCTCGTTTGCAAAATCGATTACTCGCGCGTTTGCATTACAACGTGCCGTGAAAACAGCGTTGCAATTTCAATCACGCGAAAAGACGATGCGATCGATAGATATGTATATAGTTAATCCAACCCGAATAGAGAGTTTATGTGACTATCTCCAAAGTATGTACCGCCATCTGTGTATGTATGCGTATTGCGGGATGAGAGTGCATCTTTAAGGGGGGTGGGAGGGACGCGAGGAGCCCGCGCGTTTATCGCGGTAACGTACTCCGAAAACTATCGTTGACAAACATTCTCGGTGATCCTGATAAGAAATCGCGCGTTGGCAAATTTACGGCAATTTGCGTCGCAGAAGTATCCATTCGCGATATCGCGATGCGCGCTTCGTTCCACGGTGGGAGAGAGAAAGAGAGAGAGAGAGAGATAAGGGAGAAGAGAGAAAGAGAGAGAAGCTGCGCCCGCAGCATGGCGAGACTCTCAGGCGCCTGCGTGGCCAGGTGACGTCATTGGCGAACCGGGCAGCTCGCTGTCTACCAGACACTCAGTCTCGCCTCGACGCTCGAGGAGATTGTTTGTGTTATTTCTTTATCGCGCTCCATACACTCCGATCTGCCGTCTCGGAAGCTGACGCCCGCGCGATCGACGTCGAGATCGATTCTTACATTAAGATTCTCATCGGCAGGAAGATTTAAAAAGTGCGAGTATAACGACAGGTTAAATCGCCGATCGTTCACCCAAGACACGCGCAACTTGAAGATATTCTTACGCAAGACTCACAGGACAGATTAGACGTTGAGTAGAAAAACGGTGCCGAGTTGAGAAGAAGAAAGTTTCTCTGGGAAATCAATTTTTCTCGTTGGAGCTGGTTCGGGAAAGTAGGACTGTGGAAATAAAGATCGCCGATATCGCGCGAACGCGACTCGCCGTAGAAGCGGAGTGATAAACACGTGCGACTAACGTGAACCATCGACGATCGTACTACATCGTTCGTTTCGCGGGGATGCGCACCGAGTGAGATAGAGAATCCCTTCGTATTCATCCTCCCGGGATCCACCCGGACGTCCCGGATGTGATTAGTGCACCGTCGACGCGCGATTGATTGACTTTACTATGAACTCTGCTACGATTATTATGAGAGGATGAGCTGCTCGGTGAAGATCTCTTGCGGCAAGAGCTGGAGCCCGCAGCGCAGGATCAGCTCCCTGGCGGAGGAGACGTGCCCTTCGAATGCCGTCGTGTCCACCAGCTGCGCTGTCGGCCTCCAGGCCGCCCAGCCGTCATCATCGACATCGAGCTCGATGACCACGACCAACACCACCTCCACCACCACCGTCACCGTAGCCTTCAACAACCCCGTGATCACAACTACCAGCACCACCACCATCACCACCGCTGCCGCCGCCGCCGCCGCCACCAGCATCAACGTTTCCGCGGTCGGTGGTAATCAGAGGGTCGTCCCACCACGCCCCGTCAAGTCGATCGCCGCGAAGAAAGGGGAGGACACCACGAAGCTGCTCAAGTACATCGACGATAACGTCATCGGCAAGAACGGCACGTTCTTCGGGCCGTTTGGCCGCAGGAAAGGTCAGTGATCAATATAGTAGTCGGACTTTGCCATCCCTTCTTTCGCGCCCTTCCCGTCACCCCCCCCCCCTCCTCCGCGTGAATGGCGTTCGCGTAAAGAAACGGGCGATCCTTCATGCGATTCAACGATCGCGATTATCGATGTAGAATATTAAATATTTAATGTTAGCCTGTTTCTTTCGGTTTTACTGCCGAGTCTCATTGTTCGCGAGAAATAGAGTTTCGTCTTTCTGGCGAATCATTGAGAAGTATCAAGATGATTAATACCCCGATCAAATTGAATACACTTGCTCAAGGTCGAAGATAATCTTCTGGAAATTTTTTTTCAATGCTTGAGAATGCGACACGGTGTCGTCTTTAGAATTATATATTCGGGAAATTATGTTATTTTAGAACATTTATATTTAAATTATTTACTATAAAATAAAACATACATTTGGTCTATGTTATAAAATTAAAAAATGTAATTTAAAATATAAATGACAATTTGCTAATAATTTCATGCTTTTTTAAAATTAAGATGACGCGATCTATGAGATCGCTGTGATTATTAGCCAAAAAAGAGCAAAATTATTTTACTGGATTAGAATAACAAGTATTATGGCGTGAGATTGTTGCGTGTTAGTTAAAGAATAATATACAATGCAATATTGCATATCATAATATTTGTTTACAAAATTAGAATGTAATTATTCAATATTGTTGTTTGCTGTAATTATTATCGATGGATTAAGATACAATAAAAAGCTCGTGAGTCACCTGCATAATGCATGAATATTAACAAAGTTTAAATTAATATAAATTAATATATAAAATTATAATTAATAATTCGAAGCTGATGTAATTTCCCGATAATTTCGCATGCGAATCAACTACAGGCGTCAAGTCGATAATGACGAAGTATTTACTTCCACGAGTTATCGTGGCGTAAGCCTTCGCCCGCACGATTGGGATACCCTCCAAATGCTGTTGGCGTATACCTTCCGTAATTCGATACTACTTCGAGTAGTAGCACGGAAACCCTTGCCGTGTTTCAAAGTATCGGCAATTAAGAGCATAAAGCCGTATATTTTTAGGCTCTGATCGATCACTCGCGAAAATCTTGTTGTTGACTCGCGGCCAATCAAATCGATATCGTATAGCTGGGCTATATCGACGCAGCAGCGATCGATCACGTGTTTAATGCGAAACTTTTTCCACGTCGTTCCGTCAAAGTCGTTCATTATCCATTTCCTGTTTTCTTTCTTTTTTCGTGAATATATACATATATGTATAAATTAAGCTCGCAGATGTACGGCTGTTTTTTATTAATCGAAATTAATTCTTTCACCGCAACGATCCAAACATTTTGTTTAAAACACACGAGTTTTATGAATCTATCCTTTCTTTTTGTTAAAAATAACATTTGTTAAAAATAAATTTATTACAGAATACAAACGAAGAGCAGATAAAAATATTTTAAAAAATTTAGATTTATTAGATGTAAACAAAAAATATTTAATAATAATTTGTTTTTAATAATAATTCATAATAATTTGTGATGATTTTTTTTTTTCAGCTGTAACTTAAGAGAAGTTTACTAAAAAAATATTTTTCTTTAGAATATTAGTAACAAGTTTATAGAATGTATTTGCAATTAGTCGAATTTTTTAAACTTAGGCCATTTAAACATTTATAAATTCTATTAAGGAAAAAGTGTAGTAGTTTCAGCTACTTCTATAATCAGTATTCAAACGGTATAACAGTTGTTCGATACATGGCATTATAAGAAACAAGTTGCGGTGCGTAATGGTCCTGTAATTTACTCCGAGTCGATTTCTTCTAACAAGTCGAGTCAACTTGTTCTTATTAAGCGTATCTATAACATTTCGACGGACGCGAAAATATTCTTTGCTCTTAATTATTCAGCGGTTCCGTGCGACTGATTATTAGGGTGTCATTGTCCGAGAATCACCTGAAAGGCCACGTGCTACCTTGGAAACTCCACTGGTCGCCGCGATCAATAAAGCCCGCGTGAAAAGCGTCGCGAGAGACCTTGAACACGAAAAGAGAATGGGGTGGGGGGGGGAGGGTCCCCTTTTCTGACACATATCGGAAGAATCGCTGGTGGAAAAGTATCGCGACGGATAGCGGACTATTTGGAGTATACGATTCGCGGCTTATTTGCACGAAGTCGGTTTCTTCGGGCGTGCTCATAAATATATCGGGCTGACGTCATACATCGCTCGACACGATGGCGACCTTAACTCTCTTTCGCGCGCGCGCGCTAGATAGCTCCTCTAACGGATTCGCGTGATGGTCGAGAAATTTCGCGAGTTAAATTTCTTACGTTACAGCGATTTATTTGCTTAACGAAGTGAAAGTTTGACGATTTTGATATATTGAATTGATTTTCATAAAGCGCGATAGAGAGATCGATAGTTTTTGCAAATATTTCGACGAATAAAATAAACTTTATTACTCTCTTTATTTCTTTAAATTAAATATTTCTGAGAAAAGCGTTGCACATAAAAATATCCGGTTTATAATCTTATATGTGCATTAAAATGTGTAGTTATGAAATTTATGATATAAGAAAATATATATAAATCCGTATATACACAGCGCGTTGTATTATACACGATGCTTTGTGACCTCCTACGCACATTTACGATCTTCGCCTAGACACGTGCCAGTCGAATAAATTGCTAAAACTACGGTGCACTTACGCAGTTCCATTTAGCAAACAGAAATAGACAGACGCGTTTGCCTGACGCTATCATACTCGGTAATTCGATTTGCTCTTGACAGCTTTTTGTTCAAACATCAAAGCCACTTAATGGCTTACTCATGTAATGATCGAATGCAACAACGTTTGTACGTTGGCGATAAACATTGTGAAAAGAGTATATAGTGTAATATGTAATACAATCTATATAATGGGACAAAGAGTGTTTCGAATGATTATAAACCGGATATTTTTCCAATGCTTTTCTCGGAAATATCTAATTTATATGAAAACGAGTTCAATATCTTCAATAATATCGAATTTAAAAATGATGTTTCTGTTATAATTTTTTTCTTTGAGACGTTCTGTTTCAAAGTCAACACTTTCCAATTATATTGACTTGTAATATTTTGGGCGGACACATCTGTATATGTAAATGATCATTGCACAGATCTTTGTATATATTTCGGTGAAGATGTGTAGCTATAGCCATCAAGAGGGAAAACTAAGTGAGGCGAGAAATAACAAGTGTAAAAATGCGATTATATCGTTCGTCAGATCAGATACGATAACGCAGTGGCAAAGCTTTGCACGTTGAAGATAAAGTATTGATAAATATTGTTTTCCTAAATGTGTGACGAACGTTAGGAAGGAAGGTGGCCTTCACCGAAAAACAGGTTCGCCACGTGTGATTCACGAGCGATGAGACTGGGTGGGAAGTGACGGAAATCTGCGTGAAATTTGCAAGTCGCGCTGTCTCTTTTTAAAATTTATTTCGCTTCGTATGCAAGTCTCGAAAACGCAGTTAGATTATATTTCTGCTTTAATAGTCGTGGAAACAAGATATCTTTTTATTTTATTTTTTTCACTCTAATCGACTGATGTTATATAATTATACCATTAAATACAAGTAAAGATAAAAAATGAAAATTACAAGATGAAAATGTGTGACGCTCATTTTCAATTGTTTTAGTTAATTTTATTAATCGTAATTTTTTAAATAGTATTCCGATGCGTAATATGTAACAGAATTGGATGCGCGCGTTTAGACATTTTGCCAACAGCGAACTCGAATTTCTCGAGCGGTGATTAGGTTGCAAATATTCGTGATGGATGATCCGTTGTCTTCTGATAGGTTGATCTTGGTCTGACATGTCTCGAGGTCGATGGGAGATGCGATCCTGTTAGGCCACTATTTCGCACTGGCTATGGTCACGTGATATTCCGAAGAACTAAGGATGCCTACGTCACCAACAAAGAATGACTTGTCTATATCTCATCTCTCTTCTCTAGCAGTTTTAACTCTGAATTCTTAAGCAAAGTCAAGTGGATATTTGATTGGGATTTAAAAATTGTAGCGCATCATCAAATATTTGTTTAATTGGTTCAATATTTATTGATCTTTTACATTGCGAGATACATATTTTATATTTTGAAATGGTGATTTATGACAATCTTTGACGACAAAGCTCTACAAACACATTATAAGCAGTGAATGAAATTATAATTGACTATATTTTTGCAATCTTATTTCTTCGAATAACAAAATTTCATGACTCGAAGTCGAGCATCCTTATCGGGAGCAAGTCAGAGCACAAGAGTTGTTAAATGTCAGCGACCGTGTCTATATTATCTACGATTTATCTTCTCGCTCGACAGACGGTGACAGAGTCTCGATAGATTTCGATTCGGTTTCTGTTGTGTTTCAATAAAGGCAGATAAGCATCATAAGCGCAATCAAAGTTCGTAAATATCCGCACGCACGCGCTGTTTCTCATCGATCCATCAATTTCCTCCTGCCGTTGCGCGTTTCCGAAATACATGATAATGCGCTCCCGGGTCGGGGCAATAATGGCGCGTTTGACCCAGTTATTTATCTTATATCAACCTGGTTGACCCAGTTTCTTCCCAGCATAATAATATTGGATTCCGCGTGTAAATTGGTGCATTAAAAATATTCTAATTTCGTTAACTTACTTTCCTGACCGGTGACGCAAAAATTATAATTGATCCGCATCAATCGTGATTTTCCGTAAAATGGCATATCGTTGAGAATGAATTTTATCATTTGAATGAATTGGAAAAGGATTTGTAATTACGGGTCCTTAACGATTATATGATCAGATAAAGAAATTTTATATAATAAGCACATTGTGTAAAAGATGAATCAAACAGAATGAAGTGATTGTGCAGTAAAAATAATATTTCTTATACATTATAAATCTTATAAATTATTTTTATATATCTTTGATAATTTTCGATAAGATTAATTGTTTTGATTGATTGAACAAAA